ATCGATTCGCGGCTTTTGAGAATCGATATCGAATCGATGTCATTTCAAAAAACGATTAATCGAAAAATCGATTGCCCAGCCCTACCACAAGTATATTTTGGTCATCCCATTAAAAATAACATTCAAACCAGATCATTTTAGAGCTTTAAAGTGCTGGAAATAGTTGTGTGAAATGCTTGAAAGTAATTGAAAAGTGCTTGAATTTCTCTCTCAAAAGGTTACACGATGGTTACAGTTAGCGTTACCGCTTCTGGTTTCCTGACGTATGTCAGCGCTGTTTATAACCAAAGTCCCTTTAAGGTATTCTATAGTCTTTGTTATAATGGAGAATTCTGTCCAGAATTTGAATGATTCTCACTAGATCTCGCAGCAACCTTATCAATGTGCGGCGAATTCAAACGCTTCTCACTGGATCTCACAGAGTCGCGAAATCAACGTTGGCTACCGAGTAAAGCTGTTCTGAGCTCGTACAAGTTTGTTTGCGTCGCGGTGCGAGCTGATAAACGGTCCGTGCTGCGCAGCTGAAACAGCGCGGTTTAGTTTCGCTTTCGTTTTCGTTTGCCATTTGATGTTTCTCAAATGCAACAGAAATGGCAGCGCTTATGAGTTGGACAACGCGGTGGTCGCGCCAGTGCGACCGCTCACAAAAATTAGTCGCACCGGCAGAAAAAATGGTCGCAGTCTGGAGCCCTGTATCTGATGTCAACAAACATGTTTATGGGTTATCTGTGTTCTTCAAGCCATCTCAGGTAATTTAATAAGGTTATGTATTTATAAAGTAATGCCAATCGACATAGCATTTATCAATGTATTAAATACTATAAAATAATATAATTTCTGCCTCATTCTGTGATAAGAATCAGTTCACAGAAGGAAGTTATTTAAAACACTCGTTTGGAGTAAAAAAAATGTTATTCTCAAAAACTGTTGTACTTTGATACTGTAGTAAACTAAAAACGGTTAGCATTTTAGTCTCTTCTGTTTAGTGTAATTGTTCTTTTTGTATGCGATGGTGTGATTCATTGGTCAAAAATAATGATGAATTTGACTGATAGCATGGTTTATATATTTGTTTATTTTAATTTCTCAAGATTTCTATATATATCACTATATATCGTTATTGTGAATTTTTGTGGCCCCAATAGTCGTGTAGTGAAAACTCTAATATCGTGACAGCCCTAGTGGAAGTCAATGGCTACCGTCAGCTGTTTTGTTGAACAAGTGGAGTAAATTATGACAGAATTTTCATTTTTGCGTGAGCTGTCCCTTTAAGAATTCTTTCAAAATTTTATTTAATTAATAAACATGTCACATGTATTTTTCCTTGAACAAATGCATCTCTTTATTACTCTTTTGTTTCCACAGATAGTTCTTTATCTGAGAATGTGTTTAGTTTATAGTGCTGGTGCCACATCCACATCTCAGAGCCTGATGGACATGCAGGATGATGCTCCTCTTATCGGATGCTATGTTCAATCATTACTGTCCAATGAAGCTTCTCCTTACTCAGCCACTAAAGGAGGAGAGGCCAATCCAGTTCACATATACATGGACTTACTGCAACAGCTGCTGTCAGCTGTAGGGGGTGAGGAGTTTACAAATTATGGCTTCTAAGAGGGTTGGGCAGTATGATTATCTAAAACTGGCATTACTACATATATGGAATATATTTAATGTCTTTGTGTAATATGTAGAACATAATCTACAGGAAATAGATTAAGTGGATTATTGTAGATTTTATTTGTTGTGATCTGATGTTGTGATATGATTCATTAATACAGGTATCCCAGTGATGTACTGTCTTTTGGAAGTGGTCTCTGTGTGTCCAGAGAAACTTACCCCCAACTTTGTTGACAAAATCGACTGGATTAAAGTAATTATTATATTGCATTATATTATATTACCATTAGGTAAGGTGAACCTAAGGTTTGGTGTCAGTATGTTTTTTTTTTTTATAAATTTTTTTATTCAGCAGGGATGCATTAATTTGATCATAAGTGACAGTAAAGACTTTTCAATGTAAGATAAATAAATGTTCTTTTGAAGTTTGTTCATCAAAGAATCCTGACAAAAAAAAATTTATTACAAAAATATTAAGTAGCATTTGTACTGATAATGGAAGGAAAAGTTTTTTCATCACCAAGTGAGCATATTAGAATAATTTCTGAAGGATCATGCGACACTGAAGAATTCAGAAAGAAAAAATTATTTTTTCAAAAACATAAAAAAACTTAATGATCCCAAACTAAGTGTATATTATATTATATCCTCTAGAATGAAGACTGTAAGTATGTCTGACTAAAAACTGTAATTTGGTTAATTAATAATGTTTGTTTTGCAGGGTCTCATGAACACTAATAAAGAAGACATGCGTGAATTGGCAGCACAACTGTACGCTGTAGTTGTTTCTACTATGTCTGGAAATGAGCTTAGAACTGCTGTACAAAACCTGATTAAGACAACTAAAGACACACATGTATGTTTAAAATAGTGTAATGTTTTTTAAATTGAGAAATGTATCACATTTTTGAAATTTATTTTATTTATTTATTTTTTTTACATTAAGAGTCCTGAGACTCAGCATGGTGCCATCTTGGCTCTGGGCTACATGGTGGGCAGATACATGAATAAGAGGCGGAGCCTAATGCCTACTGAACCCACTCCCAAAGAAAATGAGGAACTAATTGCCATAGCCACAAAAGCCATCGGTATGTGCCTTTTCACAAAGAGTTTCACACATGACACTTGCTATTGGGATGCTCTTGAATAACACAATGAACTTTGTTTCATTAGTTAACTATTGCAACAAAAACATAAAATTATATTCACTTAAGCAAACAGCTACCAATGTGTTTGTCTTGCAGGTTCATTTTTGGATAGCGAGTCTCCTCTGTTGACTGTTGCTGCTGTGACAGCATTGGGAGAGATTGGGCGTAACAGCGTGTTGCTGATACCAGCTGATGGAAATGGCTTCACTAAACTCAGTCTAGTGGATAATCTGCTTGCTAGGATCCCATCTGGAAAAGAGACTGGCAAGGTAAAACAAAACACACACTCGGAGTGAATGATTGTGACCGTATTATTGATGTGTGCACTCCATCCAAATACGAGCTTCTGTACAGATCAATTTTCACACTGTTTCCTCAATGAAATGAAGTGTTTGTGGTACTGATTGTCTGCTCTTTGTGTTGTCAGATGAAAGAACGTGCCATCCAGACTCTTGGGTTTCTGCCGGTGGGAGATGGTGAATTCCCACACCAGAAGAAAATCCTGCAGGGCCTCATGGATTCAGTAGAGGTAATGTGATGTGTCATGAAGAAGGTCATAACATTTAAAGCCAATAGAAATGATGTTATTAATTATACCTTTTATTAATTCTAAATAAAGTACAAACAAATGAGACCATTTATTGTGTATTACTAATAACATTATTTACTATGTATGCATAATGTGTTTTGTCTAGGGCTGCCAAGTGATTAAAATTGTTAATCTAATTAATTAAATGATGTGCTGATTAATTAATCGAATGCATCAATTCTGGGTGAGAAATTACCTCCCAAAAGATCATTTAAAGTCATTATTGTGTTAAATGAGAAAACCATTGAATAGACATTACAAAAAGTACCTTTAAAAAATAATATTGATTTCAACATAGAAAAAAATTATTATTAAAATAGAAAATTATTATTATTATAATTTTTAACAAAAATGAAATGGTACTCTAAATATGTAAATAAAACTGCCAGTAAGTGGCAACAAGTCATTTGTTCATTAAGCCAATTCATTCAAATGGCTGATCTTTATGAATTGGTCACTGAAGCATTGCCTCACTCGATTTGTTCAAAACTTGGATTTATTCAGTAACAAAAAGCTGTTGTGTGTTGCTCAAGATGTGGCTTTGATTGCAAAAACAGACAATACTGACAATATTGTCTCAAAAATGTAACCCGAGATTAACTTCTTGTTTAGTGAACTTGTATAAAGTCAAATCATATTTGCAATCGTGCAGATATTCAGGGGACAAAAACAGCACTCTTGCTCGTGTGATATTGCTAAACTGCTATATATCATATGATCTAAATATAAGACAAAAACCCATACAGGGACATTTTTTGCTCTCATATCTTGAATTTTAGGGGCATATAACTGGATTTTAATAGGCTACATTGCGCAGTCAGTCGCATCCTGCATCACATTCGTTAGCAACTGCTTGCAAAGATGACATACAGGTCTGGGCTGTTGAATGCATTAATAATTTTAACACATTATATTTTCCATAATGCGTTAAATCGACAACCCTAGTTTTGTCAACATAGTGCAATGAATTCATATTAAATAAATAATATGAAAAAAATGATGTGGCCATTTCTTCACATTTCTTATTCTTAAATGTTGTGTTGGGTTTCTTTAGGCCAAGCAGGTGGAGCTACAGTTTACAGTAGGAGAGGCTTTAACCAATGCTGCTATAGGAAGCTGCTCTGGAGCTGCCCGAGATGTGTGGACTTGCACAGAAGACCAATACTGCCCGCCTGACAGTAAGTATGTGTGGGAGAGATAGAGAGAGGGAACAAGGGGAATCTTTTTCACACTTGTCTTACTTGTGCATACATGACTTTTGGACAAGCCCTGATTCAGGGTTGTGCACTTAAATAATTTCTTTCTTCCGCTTTCAGATGTGAAGAATAATGATATTGTGCCCTGGGTTTTGAACTCCGTCTTGTCAAAATATATATCAAGTCCAAACCCTCATGTTCGGCAGGCTGCCTGCATATGGCTCTTGTCTCTAGTCAAGAAACTCAGCCATCACAAAGAAATACAGGTAAATACATACAAAGTGCACTCCCAGTCTCATTCACACATACAAAAAAAACATTGACGTTGCAAAGCATCTGTTCTCTCTTTGCATGTGATAGTCTCATCTGAAGGAGATACAGACAGCCTTTATTTCTATCTTGTCTGATCCAGATGGTGAGTGACATACTGCTTCTTTATGATACTGCTCTTTTAAAGGTCACATTACATTTTGACAGTCTCTAAAGTTGGGGAGCTTGTGGGCATGATTGATAGTTATGATCTGTGTGTGTAGAACTCAGCCAAGATGTGGCATCTAAAGGACTCGGGATGGTTTATGAGCTCGGAGGAGAACAGGATCAACAGGAATTGGTATCAACCCTTGTGGAAACTCTCATGACTGGTAAAAGGTATTAATAAACCAGCTTATTTCTGGTTTCTGGTATTCCTTTTATTATTATGGACTTTTGGAGTATGATTTGTCATAAATTGCATTATGAAGACTTGCCAAGCCCCTGAATATGGAGCAATTACTCTATATAGGCTACTAACCAGATCCAGACAGCATCTGATTTTTTTTTTCTTTTTTCAATGAGCTACATCACAGAATAATATAGCTTGGGCTAGGGCTGTGCAAAAAATCGAATGCGATTTTCATGCGCATCTCGTCAGTAAAGGCGCTCCTGTGATTAGTAGTAAATCTCCAGCACGTGCTTTCAGATGGAGCGCATTGACTACACAGAGCCGTAGTTCACTGACAAGCTACACAAAATCGGCAATGAATCGCCTGCGATTTTGAATGCGATTTTGTGTATGCGCAAGTAAATGCGCTCCATCTGAAAGCACGTGCTGGAGATTTACTACTAAATGGATACATTGCAACGTGTATGATTCGCTCCTGACTATTTTGATAGCTTTGAGATTTTATGTTTTCAGAGCCAAACATACCGTCTCAGAGGACACTGAAGTCTTCCGGGGGGAGTCCCTTGGTAAAGCACCTGATGGGTACGTCCTCCTTTTATTATATTTCAGATGGTTTCGAAACATTTTAGGGAGTAGGACTTCACAGATTTGAGAATGTATTTTTAATGAGATTACAGGACTAGATGTTTTCTTTCATCATATATTGTTTTGATCGTTTACTTTGGTAGACAAGGACTCTCAACCTATAAGGAGCTCTGTGCATTGGCTAGTGATCTAAACCAACCGGATCTTGTTTATAAGTTCATGAATCTTGCCAATCACCACGCCATGTGGAATTCCAGGAAGGTAAACTATATTAACCATGATGTGATTGTTTATAACTTGGTGACTTATTATTCAGAGCCTTTTTCAGTAGCATGCAGTGATCGTTGACTCTTCCTGTACTGTAGGGGGCAGCATTTGGGTTTAACATTATTGCAGCTAAAGCAGGTGAGCAGCTGGCTCCTTTCCTGCCTCAGCTGGTTCCCCGCCTCTATAGATATCAGTTTGATCCCAACCTGGCCATCAGGCAGGCCATGACTAGCATCTGGGATGCTCTGGTCACGGATAAAACCATTGTAAGATATTATTACTACTCAGAATCATGAATTACATTGCTTAAAAGATAGTAGGGACACAGTATTGTTATTACAATTATATTTTGTTTATTTTTGACAGGTGGAAAAATATTTTAAGGAAATTCTTCAAGATGTCATTTCCAGCCTCACTAGTAACATGTGGAGGGTGCGGGAGTCAAGGTAAATTGTCTAGATATGCTTGAAAGAACCTTGATTTCCTCCCTTCTAGATTGGGTTCAAATCATCAGGGCCCTTTTATTTATTTACTTTTTCCAGCTGCTTGGCTTTGAACGATCTGATACGTGGAAGGCAGGCAGATGAAATCATTGACCGCCTGTCAGAAATCTGGGAGACTCTGTTTCGGGTGCTGGATGATATAAAGGTGATAAATAAAAGGCTGCTGTATTTTTTGCGGTGTTCTGTGTGTGTTTGTTTTTAATCTACAGCTGTTTTCATTTGACCGTCTTATTTGTTTCCTGTTGTAGGAGTCCGTTCGTAAGGCGGCAGATCTGACTCTAAAGACTCTCAGTAAAGTGAGTTTTTCAGTAAAGCAGCACTAAATACTGGATATTCCAATGATTTCCCACTCTTGAGACATCATCACAGATAACTGATGTGTGTGTGTGTGTTTGTCCAATAGGTGTGTGTGCGCATGTGTGAATCAACAGGTGTTACTGCTCAGAGGACAGTGGCTGTGTTGTTGCCAACTCTACTGGACAAAGGCATCATCAGCAACGTAACCGAAGTGCGGACTCTCAGGTAAGAACACATGCATTGACCAGCCACATGCACACAAACCATAATAAATCTTTATATTCAGAGTAAAAGTCTTGAGTATTGCTTTGTTTTAGTATCCAAACTCTAGTGAAGATCAGTAAGACAGCAGGCAGCCGTCTGAAGCCCCATGCTCCTCGACTCATCCCGGCTCTGCTGGAGGCCCTGAGCGTGCTGGAACCGCAGGTGCTCAACTACCTCAGTCTGAGAGCCACAGAGCAGGAGAAGGTGAGCCGCTCTGTGATCATCTGGTATGGAGGACTAGACGTCAAGTCACTTCTGTTTATATAGTGCTTCATACAACTGAGATCGCTTCATACAACTGAGATCGCTTCAAAGCAGATTCACAGTATTAAACAGGAAAGTAACAGAATCATTGATGCAAACTTGATCAAATATGAGGCAAGTCCAAATTTTGTTATAAAGCAGTTCTAACAATACAATAGTGTCTGTTGTTCCTGCTCTTACTAATTGGAACATACCATTTACAAAAAAATAACTATTGCCTCATTTCATTCCAAAGATGTGATTATTGCACATAAACATTTCCATAAATTGCTAAAATGAATCATTTCCCATCAGGTGTGTGCTTCCGTGTAGGCCACTCTGCTAAAATAGGACATATAAACAGCGATCCCCAAATAAATATTGTGAAATATCCAATACACAAGAACAGTATGAACACAGTAAAATACAGTGATGGAGGACTGCAGTGACACACACTTTAACACAAAATGAAGGAATCAATTATTTATATTCTCTTATTTAGTCAATGTATAATTTATATTTATGCATTTATTATACAATTAAAAAAAATAATTTTTTTATTTTATTTTTGTAAATGGACATACCTTAAACTCTACGTTTAATTCATGTTTAAAGATGTGGTTAAATCAAGCGGCAACCTTCCGGTCTCTCTCGTGAAACCAACACGGAAGTGACTAAAACTGCAATTCATCGACTAGCTGCTAGAGGCTAGCTCCAAAAGGGAGTCAGTCCCATAGATTCCCCATGTTAAAATGCCCAAATTTACAGCAGAAAAAAATGTTCACTGACACTACGTCCATGCTTTTATACAGTCTATGGGTAAATAAAAAAAAAATAATAGTAATAAATCATTATCCAAAATGGTCCAAACTGACAAATAAATAGACATATTTAAAAGTTTATTTAATTTGTTTAAAATGTTAGTTAAATGTAACAATAAAATAATACTTTTTATTTTACTTTATTTTATTTTTATTTTTTTATTTATTTTTTATTTACAAAGTGAGTTTGCGTTTATCCAAACAATGGCCAATGGAGAGCGTTTGAAAAGTGCCATTATTTTTGCTATTCCTTTTGTTGACATTATATAGATGTTACACACCTCACGTTCTGAATATACTGAACTCATTTTCACATTTCCTTCTATGGCAGAGTGCAATGGATGCCGCAAGGTTAAGTGCAGCCAAGTCCTCTCCTATGATGGAAACCATTAACATGGTAAGACACATCAAGTCTATCCTTATGCGTTAGCTACATTCCAAATGGGTAATTACATGAGCATTTAATTACAAAAACACATCTATTTGCATGTAGCCATATTTACAAGTGTATTTTTAGACTGCAATGTTTATGTGAGCTGTGTTTGTGTTTTTAGTGTCTACAGCACTTGGATGTATCTGTCTTAGGCGAGCTTGTTCCAAAACTTTGTGATCTACTAAAGAGTGGAATCGGACTTGGAACAAAGGTACACATCCTGCTCGATTTTTGTCAGTAATGCACTTTTGCTTCCAAATGTACACACAGGCTGACAGTTGTATGTGTTGTTGTAGGGAGGATGTGCCAGTGTGATTGTGTCATTGACAGTGCAGTGCCCTCAAGATCTCACACCATATTCAGGTAACATGTACTGACAGATCAGAGGGGTTATACTGTTTTGTACATTTATAAGTCTTATACGTGTGTTATACATGTTTTTCTTGGTCTTGTCTCACAGGTAAACTCATGAGTGCACTCCTAAATGGGATCAATGACCGTAGTAGCGTCATTCAGAAGTCGTTTGCCTTTGCCATTGGACATCTGGTCAGGGTATGAAAACACACCTTGAATACGTATGTCAATTGAACCTAAAGCAACTACAGAGCTACAAAACAATACTCTTTGTTTTCCCCATCAGACAGCCAAAGACGGCAGCGTTGAGAAGCTTCTGCAGAAACTGAATACCTGGTACCTGGAAAAAGAGGGTAGGAAGACTTAGACTTTAAAGCAATAGTTCACCCAAATATGAATGCCCTCATGTCCTTCCAAACCCAAATGACTTGACTTTCTTTGGTCGAACACAAAAGAAAAAAGTTGGCGTTGTGCTATGTAAAAGAGCAGCTTGAGCATTACTTCAAAACATCTCTTTTTGTGTTCCATGAAAAACGGACAGTCATAAGGTTTTGGAATCACATGACGATGAGTTAATGATGACCACATTTTCATTTATGGGTGAACCGTTCATTTAATGAAGAGGATTTCTCTTGAATAATAAGAATTGTGTAAACCCTTGTGCTATCTAGATTTGTGAAGTGTTTTCTGTAATCCTCAGAGGCACTATACAGGTCCTCATGTTGTCTGGTGGTTCATGCCATCAGTCACTACAGTCCTGATGTGTTGAAGGCTCATGCTGGAGTGGCTCTGCCGCTGGCATTTCTGGCCATGCATCAGGAGCCCGAGGAAGAGAAGGGAGAGAGCGCCGAGGCCAACCTGTGGTCTGAGGTCTGGCAGGAACACGTACCTGGTAGGTTAAGATGCACAACCCTTGGAGGAGAAAAGATAGTTTTGGAGATGAATTCATAATATTTTGAACGACCTGAAATCAAATCTAAAAAAAAAAAAACAGTCATTTAACCCTTTACTTTTTTTCATTGGGTGTTTAAAGATTTTATTTTAAAGGGGTCCTATTATGCTTTTAGTTAGTCTGTAATGTTGCTGTTTGAGCATAAAAAAGATCTGCAAAGTTACAAAGCTCAAAGTCCACGTCAAAAGGAGATATTTTATTTAACAGAAACAGAAACTTTTCAAAAACTAAAACGAACGACTTGTTTGGACTACAACACATATTTTCCGGGATTTGTGATATCACAAATACCGACGAACAGGACGAATCCTGATTGAGCTGCACTAGAGAAGGTAACAGAAATCACTTTTCAAAAACTACAACGAACGACTCGTTTGGACTACAACGCATATTTTCCGACGAATGGGACGAGACCTTGGTTGAGCTGCACTAGAGAAGGCAATGAGTGTTATCACTATGTCGGAGACATGCTAGCTTTCCCAAGGCAGACGAACTTAGAGTGGTTACAATCATCCGGGTTTAAATCACGCTCAAATTGATTTGATTTTGATGGCAATATTTACACTGAAGCTGCAGGCGGCTATGGTAAGGGGCATGATATTTCTCGACCAGGCGCCGAGTGCTGCCAGTCACAACACACACTGTCCCAGCTAACCAATCACAGCACATTTCGTATTTCAGAAGGCGGGCCTTCATTTGATACAGGAACTATTCGAGCCGTTCATGCCAGACTGGGGAGAGAGGTGTTGTGATAATGTAAAATATGTGAAAAATAATGTGTTTTTCGAACAACCTAGTATGAGAGCCTGTTCTAGTACACCCCCAAAACAAAATCAAGACTTTGTAAAAGAGCATAATAGGACCCCTTTAAGCTAGGCTATTATTTAAAACAAAATAATAGCACTTCCTTGGACCATCTTTGTGTTCTGATGCAGATGAGTCATTGAATATGAGATGTAAATTGATTCAATGAAATGGACAGTTTGAACAGTTATATGTAAATAATCAAACCGTGCCAGGTCTGTTACAGTATTTGTTACTGAAATTTATTAAAACATATATTAATGCTCTCATACAAATGATGAGATGTGGATGGATCAGTGGGTAAATAAAAAAGCACATAGAAATCATAGATCAAAAGTCATTGACAATTTTTTTAAATTTTGGTATATTACCTAGCCCTATTGCTATGTTAGACATTACGATTTTAGCATTAGATTACATATATAGATTTTTTTCATATCTAATCAAAATGGACTTTTGATTTTATGAATATTTTAGTTATAATGTTGATCAAAACCGAAAGAAGTCTCTTATGCTCACCAAAGCTGCATTTATTTTATCAAAAATGAAAAAATGATTAGTTTAAAATAACTTTTCTATTTTAATGTATTTTAAAATGTAATTGATTTCTGTGATGCAAAGCTGAATTTTTAGTAGCCATTACACCATTTTTCCTTCAGAAATCATTCTAATATGCTGATTTGCTGCTCAAGAAACATTTCTTCTTATTATCGTGCTGCTTAATATTTTTGTGATGCACAATATTTTTCATGATTCTTTGGAATAGAAAATTCAAAAGAACTGCATTTTATATGAAAGAAATCTTGTCGCATTATAAATGTCTTGTACTGTCAATTATAATCAGTTTAAAGGGGTCATGAACTGAGAAATCAAAATTCCCTTGATCTTTTGACATATAAGAGGTCATTGTGCCATAAAAACAAACTAAGTTTCAGATCTCAAAACTTTCTGGTTAGTCTAAAAACAGCTTATATTGAAGCCAATCTGCCAGAACGACAGGTTGTGGAATGTGCCACTTTATGACATAATATTGTGGCTAAACCCCACCTCCACAGAAGAAGATCAGCGCCTGCTTCTACAGCACTGCCTGTTTAGCCCCGCCAACGAGAGAGGGAAACGCAGGTCTACGCAGAAACCAAACGATAAAGATGCTCCTAAGACAAGACACTGTGAAGTGCCAAATTGTGGAAAAACAGTCTTTGCATTGTCTTCCCTCTGATCCCAACATTAGGAAAGAGTGGATGAACTTTATTTTTAATGAAGATTAAAGTAAGAAAGAACTAGAATCAGTAAGAACTTGGTCGTTTGTTCACTTCATTTTACCGTGGGTTCATTTACAAACAAGGCACAGCTCGACGCAGGATTTTCAGAGAGATTAAAACTAAAAGACGATGCTGTGGCGACTATATTGGATCCGACAGTATGTTGCACCACACAAGTGTGAGGAACTGTTTTTATTATGTGGTCACTATTGCTTTGTCTGTTATTACAGATTACAGTATTTATATGTTTTTAACCACAGCAGCGTCCCTCTATGAAGGATGTAGGCTGACAAACATACACAACTGTTAGCCAATCATAGCAGTGGGCGTTTACTTCCGAGCCTACAATCCGCCACGGCTATTCAAACAGAGCGTTCTGATGAGGGGGGTCAAAACAGGACAGAAAATTGATGTTTTTCGAGGTAAAAATCTTGATAACATTATAAGTGGACCTCAGAGAACAGTACAAAATAATAAAAAAAGGCAGTTCATGACCCCTTTAACGTATCCTTGTAGAATAAAAGTATTAATTTCTTAAAGAATAAATAAATAAAAATCATACTGACCCCAAACAGTAGTGTACTACTTATTATAGTGTGTTAGGGTTAGCGTGAGAGAATGAATTAACTCTAAATTATAAATGAACACGGTTCTCCCAATTTAGCATTTTGTTTTGTATTCTGTGTTTTTAGGCAGCTTTGGTGGAATCAGGTTGTACATGACTGAGCTCATAGCCATTACTCAGAGGGCTCTGCAGTCTCAGTCCTGGAAGATGAAGGCTCAGGGTGCCGCTGCCATGGCAACTATTGCTAAGCAACAAACGGGCTCACTGGTGGCACCTCACCTGGGCATGGTGTTGAGTGCACTGCTACAGGGGCTTGCAGGACGCACCTGGGCAGGGAAGGTAATATACTCTCTCTTTCTCAAACATGTGCTCTGTGCTGAGGGACAGACTTTATGCTCCTGGGCTAGGATTAATAATACTCTGTTTGCTCTGGAAGCAGACAAACATGATCTCATGGTCTCAGTGGATCTCAGTGGTTGAAACTGATTTCTTTCTTCGTTGTGTTTGTGGCTGCTGAAGTGTAATGGCTTGTATGTTCACAGGAAGAGCTGTTGAAAGCTGTTGGATCTGTAGTGTCTAAATGCAGGTTAGACTCTACTGTCTGTTTCTTTCTCACACTTGTGATGTTTAGCAAAAAAAAAAAAACCTTAAGCAGGGCTGTACGTTAACTTTTTTTTCACATAGCACTGGTGCTACAGAGGTTGAAAGTTTTGTAGCACAAGCCAAAAAGTTATAGCACAAGTATAAAACGTCTGTTATCATGTCTGAAAACAAACATAAGTAATGGAGTTCATCACTTAAACAAGCACTGATGTTCCATACAAAGCACACAAAATACAAACCATCACAAAAATTGTTTTTAGACAGTTTTTTCTTAATTTGCTAAAAATGGAAGAGTGCAGAAACAACACCTCTCCTACACCTTTGTACAGCCCTGTTAAGGGAATAATTCACTCAAAAATGAACATTTGCTCACAGTGTTCTCACCCTCAGGCCATCTAAGATGTAGATGAGTTTGTTTCTTCATCAGAACAGATTTGGAGAAATGTAGCATTGCATCACTTGCTCACCAATGACAATATTTTTATCAGCTGTTTTGGACTCTCATTCCGACGGCACCCATTCACTGCAGAGGATCCATTGCAGAGCAAGTGATTTAATGGAAATTTCTCCAAATTTGTTCAGATGAAGAAACAAACTCATTTCAGATGACCTGAAAAGGTTAGTTCACCCAAAAATGAAAATTACCCCATGATTTACTTACCCTCACAGTAATCCACAATATTTTTATCAGCTGTTTTGGACTCTCATTCCGACGGCACCCATTCACTGCAGAGGATCCATTGCAGAGCAAGTGATTTAATGGAAATTTCTCCAAATTTGTTCAGATGAAGAAACAAACTCATTTCAGATGACCTGAAAAGGTTAGTTCACCCAAAAATGAAAATTACCCCATGATTTACTTACCCTCATTCTGAAGCGACGCGATGCGTTTGTGTAAGAAAAATATCCATATTACCATATATTATATGTTTTATATATATTATATATATATATATTGTCATATACACCTAGGATGGCTCGAAGGTGAGTAAATCATGGGGTAATTTTTGGGTGAACTATCCCTTGAAGGTGAGTAAAGTTTCAGACAATTTTCATTTTTGGGTGAACTATTCCTTTAAATATATGGCCATTTTTTTAATGTAGTACTTGCCTTAAGAGGTTTACATAACTTTGATTCTTAATATTATGTTTAGCCTTTTTATGGTGGGTTGTGCAGAGCATGCTGGAAAACCAGAACTCACAGGAAAAAATAATAAAACCCATGTACATTCAGTAACTTTTCATATACGTGTGGTTCTGTCTTGTAGTGTGGAGCTACAGAAGCCTGCAGCAGGTCAGCCGACGTTGAGCGAGGTACTGGATCTGGTGCTGAAGGAATGTAAGAAGGAGAGTCTGGTTTATAGAATGGCGGCTTTACGCAGTGCAGCAGATATCTTGGAATCGACTCAGGAGGATCGTTTTCAGGAAATCACCGACATTGTGCTTCCTCTCATTAAAAAGGTGCAGCAAAAACCCTACATGCTCACAGTAAATCTTTTTTTTTTTAAGCTTTGGCATTTCATCCCAATTGAGTTACAGTCTTACAATATTCCTGAAAGTGTTTTAATTAGGGATGCACCGGTATCGGGCCCGATACTGAGCTCCTGTACTCGTAATCGTACTCGTTAAAATACCCCGATACCAAACGCCGATACCACACAGCATGTGATAAGTGCCATATTCAGACAAAGAAACACCGACAACAGACAGAAGAATGGAGTTATTAGAGATTAAAGATGTCTACGAAGTATATGTATGCAATGAATATAAAACATTCAGTATTAATGCCTGTATAGCTGATGTGCGCGAACTGATAAGCAAAGCACGCTGAGTGGATTGAGCGCGCGGCGGCGCAGATGCACAAGCTTGTAGAGTGAATATCCCTTTCTCACAGACATCACTGGAAAGTTTGTAGTTCGGTCAGATATGTCAAAAACAAGTAAGTTAGCACACGCATCATTTGGATTAAAACTAAATCGTAAAAATAAGACCATTAAGACCATTTATTCACTATAAAGAGCATTTATTTTCAACCTTAGGCATACACGACTTTCTGGCGAAAGTAGCGAAAGTAAA